ACAGATTTATCACCTGTGACTCAAAAGGTGACCTCACCCATTAAGAGGCAGAGCCATTGTTCCAACCACCAGGGGATCTGACTCAGCTCCTAGGCACCCCTGGTCGGCTAGCCCTGGGTCTCAGCCCCTGGGGGTTTCAGGACCAGACAACAGAAAAGTTGGTGACCTTCTGAAGACCCCTGTGGCACTCAGTGAACCTGTCACATTTAGCTGGGCTGTTTTGGGCCCCTCTTACACACTGGATGACTTCCTAAGCATCCTAAGACTTGGCTCTTATATCTTTCCAACCCCAGGGTGTGGTGTGGCTCTGGGGATTTTCCCCACAGTCTCTTGCTAGGCTCCTTAGACTCCACCTTCCAGGACATTCTGGCCTTCTTCCCCCAGCTCGGAATGCCCCGCATTGGCTGGAGGCATATTTATATGTTTGTTTGGTTGGTTTTGAGAAAGAGTCTCACTATGTGGCCCTGGCTGGCTTGTAACTCAATTGGAACTGGCTATATAAACCAGGCTGAGATCCGCCTGGCTCTGCCTCCCAAGTACCAGGACTAAAGGTGTGTGCCACCACACCCAGGTTTGGTGTTTGTTTGTTTATTTATTTATTTATTTATTTATTTATTTATTTATTCATTTATTTAGGCTTTTTGGGACAAAGCGTCGCTACGTAGTCCAACAGATCTCAATTTCAGCCTTCCTGACTTAGCCTCCTAAATGCTTGGATTATTAGTATTTATTATTATTATTGCTACTTGACCTTTTTCTTTTTTTTTTGAGACAGGGTTTTTCTGTTGCTTCAGAGCCTGTCCTAGAACTCCCTCTGTAGATCAGGTGGGTCTGGAACTCACAGAGATCCACCTGCCTCTGCCTCCCAAATGCTGGAATTAAAGGTGTGCGCCACCACACTAGACCTGACAGAAGCCCCTTCATCTTTACTAGCCAGCTCCTGCCCATCTCTAGGACTCTTCTGCTTTGCCCCCTTGCCTCGCCAGCTCTTCAAGCTTCTTTGCCTCGGCTTAAAGGTCCTGGTGCACTCTTACTGCCCCTCCTCCAGAACCCTGTCTCCTCTGACCCAGAAGCTCCGCAGTGATAGCGTGTGGCTAACACCCGAACATCCTGCAGCTGGAAGACTACAGCGGACTTCTGTCCCTCCCTCCACAGGGCAGGCACCTGCCCAGGCGCCACTCAGCTTGAGATAGACGGCAGACAAGACTAAGTGGCCCCCAGGAAGGCCAAGCGTTGCCAGGGAGGCGCCGGACACTCCCTCTGGACAGGAAAATATTTTCATTCCTCCTAATGACAGTCATTAAGGGGCCTGTGCCACACACTGCAGCCACAGGCTGAGCTTTGGTCGGTCAAGTGGCTCCCAGCACCCTAGGCCCAGCCCGAAGGCCAGAATCCACCTGTCTACCCTCCCATTGCCCTTCACCCACCCAGGCCAAAGGGAGGAACAGCTGTCTTTCAGCCTTGGGCACCTAAGCTTGACGTGCACCCTATAATTGCTAGAATGTCAGGGATTCTTGTGACCCTTTTCCTTTCACCTCATCTGCTCACCCTGCCCTTTGCAGCCACACAACAACAACAGCAATAACAACACCACAACAAAAACAAACCACATAGTCCAAAATTGGAGTCAAGGGCTACCCCACTTAACCAAACAAATCTTCACACAGACATGCAAAGTTTGGTACACCTGCATGCACTTCAAGACGAACACACAAGCCCACAGACCTACAGTGTGCACACATGCAGTCATGCACAGGTGCAGTTCTGCATGCATGGGTATGTGTATATATTCATTTAAATAATATGAAGTTGCCAGCATTCGATAACCTTTTTAATCTTTCAAAAATAGAATCTAACCAGGCTTGGTGATACATACCTGTGATCCCAGACCTTGGGGAGCAGAGGCAGGAGGATCAGGAATGGAAGATTCATAGTAAGTTTTGAGGCAAGCCTGGGCTACATGAGACCTGTCTTGAAACCAAAAGTATAAACAAACCGAATTATCTATCAGTGAATGAGTGGATGTTCACCTATGATCCACGAGACCTTCAGCCTGCATGCTGCCACGTGGATGAAACGAGAGTGTTGCGCTAAGTGAATAGAAGCTGTTCACAAGACAGATGCGCTGTGATTCCCCTGAAAGAAGTCCCCGAGGTAGTTCATGGAGACGGAGAGTAGAGTGGTGGCTGCCAGCGGCTTGGTGGAGAGGGAGAAATGCCAGTGCTGTTTGTGGGTAGACTCTTGGGTTTGCCAGACAATGAGCTCTGAGATGGATGTAGAGGTGGGCGTACTTAACGCCACTGAAGAGTGCGGATGGAAAGGCTAAATTCGGTATGTATTTTTACCACAATTAAAAATTGTAAACAAGTCAGGCGGTGGTGGCGCACGCCTTTAATCCCAGCACTTGGGAGGCAGAGGCAGGGAGATCTATGTGAGTTTGAGGCCAGCCTGGTCAACAAAGTGAGTTACAGAGATAAACCGTGTCTCGAAAAACATAAATAAATAAATAAATAAATAAATAAATAAATAAATGTAGTAATCAAGGGGCCAGTGAGATGGCTCAGCAGGTGAAGGTGCCTGCTGCCAAACCTGATGACCTGAGTTCAAATCCCCAGATCCACATGGTAGAAGGTGAGAACCAGCTCCTGAAAGTCTCCCTCTGGCCTTCACTCATGCTCAATGGTGTGTGCACATGCCTGTGCACGCATGCAAGTGCACACAGTAAATAAATAAGTATATAATGAATAAATAAATTTAAAAAGTGGAAAACAAGATCCAGCACTGAAAAGATGTGCCAGAGATACACAGGGAACCCAGCAGCTCAGGGACTACCTGCCTGCCTCTGGGAGCCCTGAACAGACCTCCCCTCCAGTGAATCTAGAGATAAGGTCCTAATGAGGGCTCTCTTACTCTTGCTGCCCCCGCAGCTCATCACCCTCCCACAGACTGATTTTGTTTACCCAGCTTCTTAACACTCTAGTAAGTAGCCTACCAACCCCCCCCCACCCCCGGGGAAAGAACCCTTAAAGGACCTCCCTATGCTCTGGTTTCTGCTGCACACCTAGGCTGAAACGGAAGCTTTTCAGGTCTTAGACAATGCCTCCCTCACACCCTGCTCTCCTTATCTCTCTTCCCCATCTCCTATCCAGCCTTTCCTTCCATCCCTCTCCACCTTGAGTTCTCTTTCACAGGTGCCTGTATTCTAGATCTGACCATAGAACAGATGAACCCAGTTCAGTCATACTGGACTGGATATATACAATAAGGCTTTAGGGGGTTCCCAATACCCTCGTCAGATCTCACCCCTCTACAGGAGAGTGATAAACATTCTACCCCTACCCCACCCCCATTCTGCCGCCATGTGCAGTTGCCAACTGATGGAGAAACCACTTCCCTGTCCTCTGAGGACACCCCCATGTCCCGGAACCATGATCTGTGACTCTCGTTGGAGCAGATACCTGCTCCGTTTTTCTTCTGACCTTGCTCTCTGCCCTTTCTCTGAGACAGCCTTGGAAGGCTCAGCCCCAGTGGAGGGGAACCTGGCTCCTACCAGGCTGAGAGCATCTCTGGAGCTCAGTGTGCTGCAAATGCAGCTGTCTATGCTTGGCACACAGGCGTAGCTGTTAAGACACTGGCTAACAGGCAAGTTCCAAGCATGGCAGTTGATGTGGTTCAGGGGGTAGAGGCTTTGTCTAATGAAGCCCTGGGTTAGAACCTCAGCACTGTGGTAAGATGGGGATGGTAACGCACACTGTAATCCCAGCACTAGGGAGAAGGAGGCTGGAGGACCAGAAGTCCATGGTCGTCCTTGGCTGCTTAGTGAATTCAAGGCTAGCCTGGGTCACATGAGACTCTGTCTTGTGGTGTGTGTGTGTGTGTGTGTGTGTGTGTGTGTGTATGTGTTTGTGTTTGTGTTGCCATCATATCTGCATGCCTGGTTCCCACAGAGGCCATAAGAGGATGTTAGACCTCCTGGAACTGAGAGTTACAGATAGATGGTCATGAACCACGGGTGCCTGGAAATTAACCCTGACCTTCTGCAAGAGTAACAAGTGTTCTTAACCTCTGAGCCAAACCTCCAGGTCCAAGACTCTGTCTTAACAACAACAACAACAACAAAAGCACACTCCAACTTAAATGAAAAAGTCTTTATAAAACCTAGTACCATGTACAATGACTATGTGCCAATTAAAAAAATAATATTAATAAAATGGGGGGGGAGGCAAGCTCCAGACTCTGCCAGAGTCTCAGAACTTCTGGCATATTCAAGGTGTATATTTTAACAGTTCCTGGCTCTACTTGGGGGTCAGAGGGAGGACTCCTAATCCAAGTCCTTGGAGGATGGGCTCAGAATTGGATTGAGGATGCTATGAGCACCGTGGTTATGGCAGAGGCCCGAGTGGGAGAAGGATGGGTACTGATGATTCTGGAGCTCTTACACACTGTTCCACCCTCACTGGGGTCTTAGATGTCTGTGGACTAAGGTGCATACACTAGCTACTGTGGTATGTTTGGGGACTATGGCCAGTCTCTATGTTAGTATTGGGTTTGTTTACATGTGTTTGGTCAAAATGCATGTGTGAACCTACAATCTACATCTGCATGCTGGTCAGTTGTCTGTGTGGTAGAAGATCTGCTTGTGTGTCTTGAGTCATTCATCTACCATAGTCTGTGTGTGTGTGTGTGTGTGTGTGTGTGTGTGTGANGAGAGAGAGAGAGAGAGAGAGAGAGAGAGAGAGAGAGAGAGAGAGAGAGAGAGAGACCTAATCTCTGCGGGTTGCTGAGGGTAAGGGATGCAGGTTGTGGCTGTATATTCCCTGTAGGGAGTACTTGGAGCAGAGCCAGCAGCGTGCTCTAGGGGCCTGGCACCGCCACTTCCCTGAGCAGGCGAGTCCCAACAGCAGACAGACAGGTGGGGCTGACCCAACAGGTTCCCAAGGCCAGGGGCAACAGGGCGGAGCATGGTTCAGACTTAGGGTGGCAACACTTTGGGGGCCCGGCCACACATGCAGGGCTGGCAAACTGGAGGCAGTGTCTTCATCTTAGAGCAGCCAACACAGGTGCAAGCCATGGAGCCTCGGGTGGGTAGGGCACGAGGTGGATGCATACATTCAGCGGCAGCCTAGTGCCTGGAGGGACCCAGGGCATGGCAGGACCCCTGCGGAGCCGGGTGGAGGAGCTCAAGCGGCCCTGGTGGAGGGAGAGCTCGCCCCTGGTGCTCCAGCACAGCGAGGCTGCAAGGCTTGCTGCGGACGCACTCCTGGAGAGGGGTGAGGCTGCCTACCTTCAGGTCATCTCCGAAGAGCGGGAACTGCCCTTCCTCAGTGCCCTGGATGTGGACTACATGATCAGCCATGTGCGTGGGGTTCCCGAGCTCAGCGAGGCCCAGGGGTCAGAGACCCTAGGGCAGGACCGCCACAGCATGCTCTCTGAAGTTACCTCAGGCACCTACTTCCCCATGGCTTCTGACTTAGATCCCCCAGACCTGGACCTGGGCTGGCCCGAAGTGCCACAGTCCACAGGTTTCAGTCCCACCCAGGCGGTGGTTCATTTCCAGAGGGACAAGGGCAAGAGCATCAAGGACCTGCTGCGATTCCTCTTCAGCCAGGCCCACACGGTAAGGGTCTTGTCTCACAGATGTGGATACAGATGTGGCTCACAGGGGGAAGGGGAGCAGTTTGGGCCATACAGAAGCTTAAGTGGGGAACCGGGACTAGAGTCTCTGACCTCTGTAAGATTCCCCAGCTGCCAGAGGACGGGTGGGTGCTTTATTTTCCGCTGGCACTCATGAACATTAAGTATAACTTCACTCCTGCAAGTGCATTGAAATTATTGGAAGGGGTCCTTCTCTTTCATGGGAGTCTATCGCTTTGATCAGATTTACGAGAAAAAGAAACCAAACTTTTTAAAAAAAGATTTTATCTATCTATCTGTCTATTTATTTATTTGAGAGACAGGGTTTCTCTGTAAAACAGCCCTGGCTGTCCTGGAACTCACTTTATAGACCAGGCCTTGAACCTTGAACTCACAGAAGCCCGCCTGCTTCTGCCTCTCAAGTGCTAGGATTAAAGATGTAAACCACCACTGCCCGGCTTAAGCCTTGTTCTTATGTTATGTTCATGAGTGTTTGCCTGCATGTGTATGCACCATGTGCATGCCTGGTGTCAGTGAAGGCCAGAGGAGGGTGTCAGGTCCCCTGGAACTAGAACTACATGTTGTGAGCCTCCATGTGTGCTGGGAATCAAACCAGGTCCTCTGGAAGAGCAGCCAGTGCCTGTTCTTAACCATTGAACTGTTTCTCAGGCCCTCAAGAAAGTTTATGCATCCCTCACCCCCAGACTAAGGACTCAGCCATGGTGAACAGCTGAGCTAATACCTTCACTCCTAAAGGAAGAAACTGAGGCCAGAGGGCCAGAGGGGGGCAAGAAGTTGCCTAGAGAGGTTGTCTAGGTCTGGGAGGGAAAACGTTTCTGACTCTAACCCCAACATGGCTCAGCTCAGCTCATACCCAGCTGCCTAGCAACCCCCTGGGCTGCATCAACAGCTGGGCCTAAAGCAGAGCCATGGGTTTTGGCATGGGCTAAGCTTTTAGTTTGGCACCAAGGAGGACCGTAGAGCAGAAGCCATTGGGCTTGGGGACATTAGGAAGGGGCAGCCACACCTGGGAAGCCCCTAGCCTCACAGCAGTGTAGCTTCATTGGTGGAGCCATGGCTCCCACTCAGATGAGGGAATAAATATGAAAGCCCCTGGCAGGGTTTGAGATAGGGGTGGACTCGTGCTGCGGAGAGCCGGGAGCCCACCAGCACCTCCAAAGCTATGTTCGCAAGCTTGCCTGTGCCGTAGGCACGGGAGGGCTGAGCTTGATTGGCATGGAGAACCGGGTAATTAGTGAGGTTATTGCTGTTGTCATCACTGTCCCCCTTTGATCTTTCAGTGCCTGCTCCCCCCACACTGGCCAGACCTGTGCTGCATAGTGGAGAATTCCCCAGTGCCCTGCCTGCTCACCTCAATTAGACTTTTCTGCCCCTGGGCTAAGAGTCGGGCTACTGGGCTGAGCTGTCACTCATTCCCAGAGTGACCTCAGACATGTTTTGTTTTCCCACAGTCCAGTGTTCTCCATTTGCTAAGAAGGCAGCAGGAAAGGGGAGGGGCATGGTTATTGAGCCTCTGTTGTGTGTTCTGGCCAGCATTTTCACATGTGTCCTTTGTAGTTATGAGAGCCACTCCATTTAGCAGACAAGGAAGCTGAGGCTCCCTAGGTGACCCCAGGACTGTACTTCTAGGAAGAGGAGGAATGTGGATTCGAACCCACTTCTTTTGGCTCCAAGCTGCAGCAGTAGGCTCCATCCCTCCTGCTCCTAAGCCCTGCAGAGGACAGAAGACTCTCACAGTAGAGACACACAATGGGAAGGAGAAGCAACTGGAGGCTTAGGGAATACCTGTATGCTAGAGGCACACGCTGAGCAGGAAGCTCAGGCATAAGGAAAGGAGGGTTGTGAATACAAGCTGCCATACCAGACCTCTGCAGCTTCAAGAGCATCTGAGGTTTGGTAAAAGACAGAAGTCCCCAGCACTGGATCGCAGCTTCTCCCCTACTAGCCTCAGACAATCCCTAGGCCAGAGCAAAGCTGGTGCCAACAGCAAACATGGGAACCAGTCTGGAAAGCTGAGCTCTGCTTCTGACTCCCACCTTCTCTGATTCTCCAAAAAGCAGAACTTCAGACTAACATAGCTGATCTACAGACATCTTGGAGAATCTGCTACCAGACACTGTCCATAAAACAATTCCTCAAAGACTTTCCAACAACCAGAGCTTCAAGATAGTCAATTCCCCCTGTGCCTAAGAAGAACACAGGTTAAGGCAGGCATAGCGACACACTTCTGTAACCCCGATAAAAACGGGGCTGAGCCGGGCGATGGTGGCGCACTCCTTTAATCCCAGCACTCGGGAGGCAGAAGCAGGCGGATCTCTGCGAGTTCGAGGCCAGCCTGGTCTACAGAGCTAGTTCCAGGACAGACAGGCTCCAAAGCCACAGAGAAACCCTGTCTCGAAAACCAAAAAAAAAAAAAAAAAAAAAAAAAAAAAAAAACGGGGCTGAGACAGGAGTGAGCTCAAGGCCAGCTTGGATTACTGGGTTATACAGAATGAGACCCTGTCAAGAAAAAAAAAAATCCAATTCCGGTGTATGTGTCCTGGCTTTCAACCATACTTCTCCTGGGGCTGAACTTGCCCCGCCTCCTTCAGGTGGTGGCTGTGGTGATGGACGTATTCACGGACATGGAACTTCTGTGTGACCTCATGGAGGCCTCCAGCCGACGCGGTGTCCCCGTCTACCTCCTCCTGGCTCAGGAGCACCTGAAGTACTTCCTGGAGATGTGCTATAAGATGGACCTCAACGGGGGGCACCTGGTGGTCAGTATGGGCTGAGAGCTTCCACTGTGGGGAGAGGAAGAGTTGGGAGGAGGGCAGCTGGCAATCAGTGAGCACTGGGGGAGCAGTGGGAATGGGACACATGGTTTGGTTAGCTGCCGGGGACCAGACACCCCTTAGGTTACAGACAGAGCCCAAGGGTCACTTTCTTCTTTTTCCCAATTTATTTTTATTATTTTAAATTATGGGTATGTGAGGGTGCTCATGGAAGCCCCAGGAATCAGACTGCCCTCCTACGGGAGTCATAGGGAGCTGCCAGCCACCTCACAGCGAGGGCTGGGAATAGAACTCAAGTCCTCTGAAAGAGTGCTCTAAACTACTGAGCCATCTCTCCAGCCTGAGCGCCCCTTTCTGAAGGTCCTCCTTCCACCCATCTCCCTTTGCTCTTGGCCCAGAACATGCGGGTGCGGAGCACGTGCGGGGACACATACTGCAGCAAGGCGGGGCGCCGATTCACCGGGCAGGCCCTGGAGAAGTTTGTCATCATCGACTGTGAGCAGGTGGTGGCAGGCAGTTACAGGTGAGACGATTAAAAGGAGAGGGGCCTGGGGGGGGGGGGGGGCTGCGCCACGATCTAGCGAGGGCATCTCAGATCTGCCTGCTTTGAATTTCTTCCATCAAACAAACACGCACTAGGCACCTGCTGTGTGGGAGGGACCATGCCGGGCTATTGATAGATGGGAGCCCACTCTACTTAATGCCTTGGTATAGAAAGAAACGACTCCACGTGGGAAACAGAGGGACTTCGGAGGCCCTCATCCCCGACCCAATTCTAGTACTGACTGCTCCTGTTGAGCCCGGGACTCTGTGCGTTGACTCCTGACTCTGGCCCTCTGTCCCCAGCTTCACCTGGCTTTGCAGCCAGGCCCACACCAGCATGGTGCTGCAGCTGAGGGGCCACATCGTGGAAGACTTCGATCGGGAGTTCCGGTGTCTGTACGCTGAGTCACAGCCTGTGGAAGGCTTCTGCGGCCATGAGGATCCACTGTCTTCCCGGGGACCTCGTCCTCCTCCTGTGACGCTGGCCTTTGGACCTGGAATTCCAAGTGCTACAGGCTCCTCCCCTTCCAGCAACAGCCTGGGCAGCATCAAGCACACGCCTCTTCTGGGCCGGTCTTCCTACCTCGCTCTACCGGGCGGCGGTGGCTGCAGTGATATGGGCATGGGGTCCTCATCCCCAGGTCCTGCGCACCACGAAGCTGGTGGCCCACCATCCTTGTACCGTCAGCTTTCAGATCCTAACCACAGCTCAACTCCTGGACCCTACCGGGCCAACCTGAGCAAGCTGGGGGCATCTCCATGGTCCCAGTCCTCTCCTGCCCTCAACCACTGCAGTGCCAGTCCCTTGACCCTGACAGTGGGGTCACCTCTGCTCCCATGTTCCCGCCCCCTCCTTCACTTCACCAGGGGGGTCCCAGCACTGTCCCGACTTCCAGAGAATGGGTTCCCAGCAAGTCAAGAGCCTATCCTTCCACGAGGTCGCTGGGTAACTGGCCCAGCTCTGGAGACAGTGGAAGAAAAAAAGGTATCTCTGAGTCAGAGCCATGATCACCTGGATCGAATTGTCCCCTTCCCTAAAGCAGGAGGCCCCAATTCTAGAGTCACCCCCAATTCAGGTTCCCTTCAGCATGGTGAGCAGGCCCTAGATGATAGGAGATTGTCCCTGAGCCATAGCTACAGCCAGCTGGATCTCCTGTCCCAGGGTCCGGGTGCTCTGGAGTCAGGTTCCCTCAGACCTGGTGATCTGGGTCTAGAGGACAGGAAGCTGTCCTTAAACCACAACCATGGCCAATTGGACCTCCTGCCACAAAACCCCAAGGTCCAGGCCTTGAAAATACCCCCTGATGCCAATTCTTCAGCCAGGCACGACAATCAGAGTCTAGATGAACGGCGGCAGACCCTAGGCCACAGTCAGCTGGACCTCATCACCAAGTTTGGCCCATTCCGGAGCGAGGGGCCTGGACCCAGTGGTCCCCCAGAGCCAAACCCAGTTTGCATGGCCGGAGTAGGCTCTGCAGATGAGAAGCGACTGACTCTGGGCCACAGCAAACTGGACCTCATCACCAAGTATCATCAGCTACAGGGTGCCCGGCAGAGACCTGAGCCAGGCTTCCCAGGAGCTCCACTAAGTGGCCATCAAAATGGCAGTAACAATGACCTATATGCACCCGAGAAACGGCTGACCTTGGGCCACAGCAAACTGGACCTCATCACTAAGTACAACAAGTCCAAATTCAAGCAGCTCCGAAGTCGCTTTGAGTCCTAACTCTGGTCTTGGCAGGGTCAGCCCCTCCCTCCATCCATAGATTTGACATGTTCAAGTTCAAGACTGCAGAGTGAGAGTATAAAGCTGGGATGCTGCATAAGGAGGGGAGGCGTCTAGCAGTCCAGGTCAGATGCTCCCTGGGCTCAAGACTTATATACACACACGCACAGGAACACATACAAACAGAAGCCAGAGTTACTGGGTGTTTTCTGAATGTCCTGGGGCTGGGCACTTCACATCCGTTATTCCCATTCCTCATAGCCTCAAGATGGACCTCTTGTTGGCATATAGTATATTAAGTATTATTCTCTTCCACTCCATTTTTTTGTTTTGTGTTTGTTGGTTTACTTTTAGTTTTTGAAGCCAGAAAATTATTTTCTGACTGATTGAAATCCTCAAGAAAAACTGGATGCTGCAACAGCTGCCCTCTTGGGTTTAGGTTTTGTTCTTTTACGGAATCCATGTCTGAATCTGTGATAGACAATTTTTAGAGGCCTCATCCACCTAGTCCCAGTAGCATGTCACTGCTTGGCCTCGGCACTCCGGTTGTACTTTCTCTTGCACTTGGCAGCAGAGCCACGTTGACCACAGGCCGGCTTCTGAAGGTGGTGGCCTCAGAGCCACAGCGGCAACACAGCGCATGTATCTTAGTGCGTCACTTTCCAAAGGAAGACACTCCTTTTTTCGTCTTCTTTCTGCCGCAGAGGCCAAAGAGTCTGGAAGATGGTCTTCTTGTTTAATAAGTTTGGAGTTTAGATGAGTAATTTGGAGGCAGATCCAAGTAAACTACGGGTTAGGGAACCCCGCCAGGCCGGAAGCCCCTGGCTTTAAACATGTATTTTGTTTGCACAGACCCAACACACAGCATCTGTAGTTCTGAGTTGCTATGTACATAAAACTCAGACACTACAAGGATGCCCAGGTGCCCAGACAGTACACACAGAACAGTGACCAGGTAGCCAGAGATGCATATGGTGAGTACACGTAGCTCCGTGTGATGAACTCACAGAACTTTAGCTGCAGGTGCTTAGTCTTGTCTGCCTAAATTAACGGCCACAGAGAATGCATGCAGTCAGTACACACTGCAGAATCCCCTCGGGATTCATAGACTATACACATATGACCCCCATCCTCACTCTGTTTGCAAAGCCCTGCCCTGAACATGCCAGAGAGCTGAAAGGTTTCTAATACGCAGATCCAGAGGGCTGCAGCTTAAATGCATAAAGCATGGAAAACAAGGCAGAGCTGCGGTAATGAAAAATGTACTAGGGACAGGGGCCCGGAGGTGGCGGGGCGATCAGGAAAGTCTATCAGAGAGAAGCTGACTTTGAGGCAGGTCATGAAGGATAGGGTAGGGACAGAGGCAGATCCGAGAGAGCTAGAATTCTTGGTAGAGTAAGACGGATGGAAAGAGGGCCCAGGGTCTGGGGTGAACGGAAGATAATCATAGCATGTGGGTGGACACTGGACACAAAAACAGGCCAACTTGCCCAGTGTCTCGTGAAGCTCAGGCTGCAGCTGGTCATGGACTCTCTCCTGAAGTCACCGCCTGCCTGAGAGAGGGCATGGTGCAAATCAATAAAGGCATACATGCTGAGATCCAGTAGCAACCTGATGTGTTCTAAACTGTGGGGTTACAGATGGAGCTGGGGAAGGGGCGATGTTCAGGCCCTTTTCAGATGAATAGGGTCCCTTGGAGAAGAAAGCAAGCATAAAGAGGGGCTGAGGGAAGGGTTTCTTAACTTCTTCCTTCCTTGCTGTGGCATTCTGAGACACCCTGAGTGCTTTTGTAGCTTCTACAACAGATAAATTTATTTTGTCTATGAAAACGGCCACACCACTATCCTCAGGGCAGGTGGCGACGGCTGGCAAGTGTGTGTGTTAAACTGTGCGTAAGGACACATTGAGGAAGCAAGCCAGAACTCACATCTTTGCCCACCTTGAACCTCTTCTCCAGTCTCCCCAACACCCAGCTTCACACATCGCCCCATCTCTCCAGTGTCTTCTTCAGCCTGTTTCCTACGGTTCTGGGCATGTCTCTTCCGACCACTTTGTCCTGGGCTCGTTTCTCCCTACTGGACACTCACCTGGGTGACCCTTGCCCCGAATTTCAGTCTTCAGCCTCTGACTCCCGCCTCCGCTCCAGATTCGCATTTCTGTCCGCATAGCCAGGCTGGGATCATACCCTTTCCCAAACTTGCCCCTTCTCCGACCTTATCAGGTAAATACATTCCTCATCAATCCATCCTCAGTCAGACAACAATGGTTCCTTCTCATCCGCCCAGCCTCAGGTTTGGTTGATTAGTCCTTCTTAAAAGACCCCACAGAGCGAGGAACCAACGGCCTAAAACGAGAAAACGATCCGGAGGCGGGGTTGGGCGGGGTCAAACCGCGTCGCTAGCAACCATAGAGTCCTCCCAAAGGGCGGGGCTAGAGAGGCGCAAGAATGGCTTGGCTCACGCGTGCTCCCGGAAGTCGGCCTGGGAGGAGGCGGAAACGGAAAGCTAGTTACGGGAGAAGTTGTAGCGTGTGGAGATTGGAGTCGTTTGGTGAGTTGGTGGGACGTGGGACGGCGAGGGTCAGTTCCGGGCTCCGCGGCGGGAGGATTAGGAGCAGGAGAGTCAGGAGGGATCCTGTGGGTGGGTGCGACCCGAGGTCTGAGGGGCCTGAGAGGGCGGGTCAGAGGAAGCGTGGTGGGTTGACCCGGCTCCTGAGAGGATCTGTCGGCCCAGAGCCCACAGTCGCGCAGCCCCCCGGCTTCTTTCATGGCGGTCAGAGCGTCGTTCGAGAACAACTGTGAGATCGGTTGTTTCGCCAAGCTCACCAACACTTACTGCCTGGTGGCCATCGGGGGATCAGAGAACTTCTACAGGTGAGAGCTCCAGGCCCTGGGGCGCCGGGCAGGGAAGGGATGCCGGGAGCGAGAGGGACCCCGGGAACCAGCGACTCCGTGTCTCAACAGTGTGTTCGAGGGCGAGCTCTCCGAAACCATTCCTGTGGTGCATGCATCCATCGCCGGCTGCCGAATCATCGGGCGCATGTGTGTGGGTAAGGCAGGTGGGAGACACCGAGGGTCGAATGGAGCCTTGAAGCCCTGAACCAATCATTAACTCCTGGAGCCTACCCCAGGGATCCGGGGGTTTCCAGGCTTTCAGGCTCGCTGGACTCAGGAATCTGTCAGGGGTAGGTGGGACTCAGTCTAACTGCGGATCGAAAGCCTGCTAGCGCAGACTTCCCGAGAGTTGGCCTAAGCAAACTTGTATTAAGTACTTTGATTCTTGATCTCTGTTCCTTCACAGCGACGCTGGAAAGTAGGGATTGCCCTCGTTGGACTATTGAGGAAACTTGACTCTTAGAGCTGTGTGACTCACCAAGTTCCACTACCAGGGTGGAGGAGGATTTGAAGCTCACCTCTCTCTCTTTTTTTTTTTCTCTGATTATGGACAAGTTGCTTCATGCTATTAAGCATTAATTTCTGCCTCAGCAAAGTAACTAAGAGTCCCAGGTTATCCTGTTCAGCTACATTTAAATCTTACATTCTCTAAATACATCTCTTGAATGGCAGCCTTTACACTTTGACCTCTAAACATCGCTGAATAGCCTCCAACTTTCAGTTCTTTTTCTTTTTTTCCCCTTTCACGTTGGCGACAGCCACACTGTCCCTGTAGCTAAGAATGACCTAGAACTTCTGATGCTCCCACATCCACTTCCCGAGTTTTGGGATTAGTATGTGTGTGCCATCCTGCCTAAGCAGTTAACTTGGCTGTGTACATTGCTGCCACCCCTTTTTGGGTTTTGTGAGACAAGGTTTTTCTGTGTGACAGTCCCAGCTGTCCTGGAGCTTGCATTGTAGATTAGGCTGGCCTCGAACTCACTGAGATCCACCTGCCTCTCTGCCTCCCAGGTGCTGGGATTAAAGGCATGCTCCACCACCACTGGCCCCCACCCCCCCTTCTTTGGTTCTGCATGTTGGGGTTATTCAGACTTTTATTTACCTTAAAATTTTTTTTTAGCTGTTGAGCATGGGTGATGACTGTACAGTTTCTTATTGACTGCAGTGCTCTGGCCTTTAACTGTGTCCTTAGGATATGAAACAAATTTTGACAGGATCTGGGAGATTTTAGCCTGGTCTTTGTTCTGTTTTAATGAAAGTAACTTGAACTTCAGAAGTTTAGAACTGTGGCTCCTAAGGCTAGGCAGGAGTTTAGCTGTTGTCATAATGTAATGTAGTTTGTTCTTTCACACTGTTGAATGCTTTGTATTAATATTCTAATGATTACAAGTATTTAGACAATTTTCACTTTGGTGTCTAAGGACTAGTACTGCTATATAGATATGAACTTATGTACATATTTCTATTGGACACACACATATGAGTGGATCGAAGTAGTCACAGGGTGTGTGACAGGTTAGGGTAGTAGATGGCACAGTGATTAGCTGACACAGATGGCCTTTGTGCACTCCAGTCAGAGCGGAGAGTTTTAGTTGTTCTGTGTATTACTGCTGCCACTTGATCTTTGGGAAATTTTAGCCATTCAAGTAGGTGTGTAATGATAGCAAAATGTAATGCCAGGAGCCTTCCCTGCCAGTCCTGAACTCCCCCCAGTTGGTAACGATGAGGTGGATGATGTTTGTTGGGATAGATTCTTAGCCATCTGAGGCCTGTCCAGGGGATCCGTGGTTCATGCTTGGATCTATAGGATTTGAGTTTAGAGCTCTCTTAGCTAATGGGGCTAGAACAGGAGATATCCCAGGAAGTATCTCTTATGCTCATGGTATATCTTTATCCTACCTTACAATTTTGTTTTCTCCAGGGAACAGGCATGGGCTCCTGGTACCCAACAACACCACGGACCAGGAGCTGCAGCATATCCGCAACAGCCTTCCAGATTCGGTGCAGATACGGCGGGTGGAGGAGAGACTCTCAGCCCTTGGCAATGTTACCACCTGCAATGACTATGTGGCCTTGGTCCACCCAGACTTGGACAGGGTGAGACGGCAGCTTGGCCTGGAAGTTATAGGACTAGCCTAGCTAGTAGTTAGCCATTATTCCCCCAAGGCAGGAAATGAGGGTTCCATTTGCGTATTTTCTCAGTTATCAGCACTCAAAGTTTCTTACTTGTATAGGAAAATAAGACCTTTGTGTGTCAGTAAGTATCAAGCTGGGTGGGGCATTAATCCTTCAGGGTTGGGATTGGTCTATTCAGTCTTGGGCCTCGGCCACGATAGTTGGTTGACAGTTGACTAGGGTAAGTATGTATTATTGAAAGGGTGACGTGGAGCTAAGACTCATGTTTTTCAAGGCTTGCCTAGGTTTTAGGGGTTCTAGGCTGTGCCTAGACTCTTAGCCAATCCCCAAATCTTACTCAGTGAGGCTTCCATGTGCAGATGTGTAGTAAAAAAGGACTCAGGGAGCAACGTCTGTGTTGTCTAGAGAGCCCCTGGATGTTTGGTCTATGTGTTCTGGACTGTGGACACAGTACCTTTGTCGGCAGGAGACAGAAGAAATCCTGGCTGATGTGCTCAAGGTGGAAGTCTTCAGACAGACAGTTGCTGACCAGGTGTTAGTGGGGAGCTACTGTGTCTTCAGTAATCAAGGAGGTCTGGTGCACCCTAAAACTTCAATCGAGGACCAGGACGAGCTGTCCTCCCTTCTTCAGGTTCCCCTTGTGGTAAGCATCCCTGCCTTCTGACCCCTGTCTGCTAGAGGCATTCCCTTTTGTCAGTCATTACCTTTCCTAGTTTGACACAGGAACAGGCTTTGGGAGAAGAGTCCTCCCTTACAGTTAAGAGCCATGACTTATGTTGAGCTCACCCTCTGCAGGCCGGCACTGTGAACCGAGGGAGTGAGGTGATTGCTGCTGGGATGGTAGTGAACGATTGGTGTGCGTTCTGTGGTCTGGACACAACCAGCACAGAACTCTCAGTGGTGGAGAGCGTCTTCAAGCTAAATGAGGCCAAGCCTAGTACCATTGCCACCAGCATGCGGGATTCCCTCATTGACAGGTAACTTTGCCCTTTTTTTGTTTTGTTTTTTTGAGACAGGGTTTTTCTGTGTAACCCCGACTGTCCTGGAACTCAAGAGTTCCACCTGCCTCTGCCTCCTGAATGCTGGGATTAAAGGCGTGTGACACCATGCCTGGCTTACATTGTCTTTGAGTGGGGAAGGAAGCCATGTCATTGAACCAGAGCCATGTTCTGTTTGGAAGGTTGTCCCCAAATGTGAGCATGCACACGACTTAGAGCCCCCAAATGTCCCTTGGCATCTGTTCAGACTCAGCCTTCCTTGAAGACTGTGCTGTCTAGGCAGACCTTTCCTGTGATCCATCTTACTTGATCACTGACCATGTTCTGCAGTTTGTATTTGCCTATGTGTCCACTATCTCTAGCTAATGGTCTAAACCCTGAGATCGAAAAGCGCTGTTAGCTATGGAAGGTGAGAATGCTCCTCTTAATCACTGAGGAGACCCCAGATTGCTAAGGGCACTCTTAAACAGGTTGCAGGTGGATTTTATGTTGAAATCAAAATTTAGAGCAATGGTTCTTAACATGTGGATTTCAATCCCTTTGGAGGTTGAATGACCCTTTCTCAGGGTTGCATACTGGGCATCTTGCATATCAGATATTTGCATTATGATTCATAACAGCATCAAGATTACAGTTTTGAAGTTGTAACAAAAATAATTTTATAGTTGGGGTCCTTAGAACATGAGGATTATTAAAGGGCCACAGCATTAGGGAGGTTGAGAGTCTAGATTTCTGTGGATTAAAAAGCCAACCAAACTGGGCATGGTTGGCTCACTGTCTCACTTGGGAGGCTGGACTAAGACTTGACGCATCTGGAAGAGCAGCAGGAGCCTATCCTGGGTAGTTTGGCCTCCTTTCTCTCAGCCTGAGGGACTTTTCTAACACACCTCTCTGAGGATAGAAACCCCAAAGTGGCAAGTAACAGATTCTTTGTTTACCATGGAAGGACTTTCCCTTTATCCTACTGCGTTTTGCACTGATGCCCGTGGATAAGGCTGCAGGGGTAATGAGGTAGTGTAGTTCTATATCCTGTCCCTAAAGGGTTCAGTGTATATGGGCGATAGAGTTGCTATATAACTTCTGGCTGTTAAACAACAAATGGTTCCCTAGTTGTCCCCATATGGAAGCTTGTGAACCGGTGGGAAGTTTTCTGGGATTATAGATAAAGTTTCATGGGTGATATTAGTCTGCTTCAGGGGATGAGGAGGTGTTTAAATATGGAGAAAAGAGTGAGGAAGAGCCTCATACAGATAGAGATGGAAAATGCTGAGTGTG